GGGCCTGAATCCTATTGGTTAGTCTAGATTTGACTCAACTATATTGGACTCATTGCATCAGTCACTGAATGTGAGTCAACACTTCAGTAAACCCCACTGATTGAATCCACCTGCTCTAGTTAGGACTACCAATAGAATTTAGCCATTGGACTACAAATCCCAGATTGCAAATTCTGAGAGCTGTAGCCCAAAATAGTAACTTTTCCAAATTTGCTCTGGACTATCTTTTTTTTATTAACAAAGTTAGATATAATTTTACATACAATTCAAGTTCTTGAGTATGTGATCTTCTCACTAGGCTGGATAGTTTGCAGCTAGATCCCAACTCTTCCAAAGAAGGTTGGCAGCAGCAAGACAAGAACAGGAAACAGCAATGTTAAGGACTTCCCAGTGTTGATGTAAAGAAACAGAGATCTGGAATTGACTCCACCACAGGTGGTTTGAGACCTTTGCCCTCTCTTCTGTTGCAGTTACTTCTTTGTTTGCACTAAAAACTCAAAGGACGCTGCTATGAAAGCAGAAAAGTTAGATCACACTCTGCAAATGCAATGCTAATGTTTCTTTGAGCTTCAAAAACCATGCTTAATCTAGCCTTTCATGTTATGACCAATCTATTCCCCAGCCTGCAACCTTCCAGCTAAATTCACTAAGTAGATTATGCTACAACATCAGTGCTGATTGATTTGAATATATTTTTGGTCCTCTGTATCATCAAGAGTCAACAGTTCAGCATAATACCTTGGAGAAAGTTTACCCTTTGGTAGATTTATTGAGTGAGTGGGGTGGTTTGAAGCTTAGCCTGGATGTGATAAATTCTTACATTTTAAACATAAAACGGCCTTAAATCCGCTTTTTGGATTTAAAAAAGAAATGCAAGTGGCAGGCAGGTGGGTGGGGTGCCTGATTCATAGTAGAATTTGTTTTCTTTATGGTAACAAAAGTACTCATACTCCAAGAAATGGTCAGGGAAAAATCAATGTCCTCCTGTTTGAGGTTTGTCTTCACCCTTCCTGATTTACTATGTCACCAAGGTGGGGTTGCTAGAACCATAATCTGAAAAGTCTAATCCACCCATGCAAAATAAATCTGATCAAAAAAGAAAAGAAAAGCTGGGATCTTTGCAAGCACAATATTTACCACTAGCCTCTTGGGGGTGGGAATGGGAGCTTCGAGCCATAATCTTCAAATTGCATCACATTTTAAGGGGGAAAAACAATAAAGCAGATTACCAACCACAGCAATAACTATGCTAGTGGTTGCAGTTACTTTGTTCGCACACCACAACACAAACATTAAGAACTTGATGAAGAAATAGCCACAGCTGTCCCTGTGCAGCTGCTCCTGTATGCTCCATCTCAGCATTTGCTGTTGCTGTGTGCCTTCAGGTTGTTTCCAACTTATGGTGCCCTGAAGGCAAACCTGTCATAGGGTCTTCTTGGAAGGTTTCTTCAGTGGGGGGTTTGCCATTGCCAGCCTCTGAGGCTGAAAGAGCCCAAGGTCACCCAGTGGATTTACATGGCCAAGCTTGGATTCGAACCCTGGTCTCCAGAGCTATAGTCCAATGATTAAACCACTATACCATGCTGGCTCTCATACTCACTGATAATAGAGGCTGTAGTGCTGGCACAAATGGGAAGAAGGCTAAACATAAGCCATCCCACTGCAGACACTTGCTAAAATGACAGAAGTATAAACAAGCACAAATACAAGAGTGTAAATTCATGGCCACTGGCAGATCAAGAAAGCAAACATTGAATTGGTAGAGTTTTCGAATAAAAGGAAACCAGATCTTGAAAAAAAGTTCCTTTTGTGGACTACAACTACCAGAATCCCCCAGGCAGTATGGCTACTGGCTACGCTGGCTGGGAGGACTCTGGGGGGGGGGGTGTAGTCCTCAAAAGTAGCCTTTCTGACATCTGTGGAAACCTATACGATCCTGTGATAAAGGGCAGGATAGAAGTGTGTAAATACACAAATAAATATATAAAGGTGCATCTACTACACAATAATACAGCTTGATACCACTTTAACTGCTGTAACTCTATCCTATAGAATGCTGGGTTTTGTAGTTTAGTGAGGCACCAGAGTGCCAAAGAGTGAGGCACTCTTTGGCAGAGAAGGCTGAAGACCCCGTAAAACTACAAATCCTAGAATTTCATCAGATGAGGCTACAATGCTTAAAGTGGTGTCAAACTGTTTTATTTCTACAGTGTAGATACAATCTCAATATATTTTACACAGCATCACAGTGCTGTGATGCCAATGTGCCACCTTTCTTCCTATCTATCCTACCTATCTTACATTGTCTATCAATATCTATGTTATCTTAACATATCTCTCTTTATGCACTTTCTTATATATAAGGTTTCAGCTTTCATGGAAGCCTATTCACATAGAGACCTACATGTGTAGGTTTTCTCTTGGGAGACACTGATGTCAAACTTGTGGATTGCAGAGGTGCCATGTCATCTCAAAGATGGAAGCATAATCCCAGGATTAATTTGTTGCATGAGAAGGGGGGTTCTTATTTATGCCAAGAATAGGCATCTTATGGTCTCCAGTTGTCCGTTGTTTCCTATCATTCCTCATCATTGCATGTATGGGTTAGGGATGAGGTGAATTGTATTCTACAAATATGTAGACACTGGATTCTAGAGGACCACGGGTTGCTCATCCCTGGTTTAAATATTTAGATGTTCAACTAAACATGCACAACACTCTTATTTTTTTTTTTTTGCTAGATGTACAGATTCCCAAATCAAACCCAGGATCAACAGGTACATCCTATTTCTTGCTAGTTAGTAAGTGTTCCCAGCATGAATTTAACCCCTTTGCTCCTCATTTTTGTTGCTTTATATTAGTGCCATATTCCGCTACTAAGTGATCTCAGCCAATAACATCCAAGCAAAATGTCACGATAATACATAGTTAATCAACATCTGGCATCTATTCAGAATTTACTACTTACCATTACTAATGCTCCATCTGCACTGCATCATTGCTATGTTTCAATGCATTGGAATTCTGAGTACTGTAGTTTGTTGTGGTACCAGAGCTCTCTGTCAGAGGAGGCTAAATGTCTAGCAAAACTATAGTTCCCAGAATTCCATAGCATTGACCCATGGCAGTTAAAGTGGTATCAACCTGGATTATTTCTGCAGTATGGATGCAGCCTAAGTCACCCCATATATTACTTATTAATTTGGTAGCGGTATGCCAAATCTTTCTCATATTTCCCACATTTTGGACCACTTTTCAAATATTTTTTTTCAAATTCTTTCTATCACTAATATTAAATCTCAGGGTTCCATGATTTCGTTCTGTTTCTCATAAAGCACCTGCTCAGAAGTCAAAGTCAAAGAGAACATCCTGAGCATCTCAGTAATGGAATACAAAGAAGTGTCAGCAAAGCATCAGCAACATTGTTCTCTTAGCCTCTGCCCTCTAAACACATCACCATACTGATTTCTCTCTGTCAGCA